GTGGCTGCTATTTCTCGAATTTGTTAGTGGAGGCCGAAGGGCAGCAGCAGGAGGAGGAGGTTGAGCAATTGGGCTGGTGCCTGGTATATTTGCCTCAGATCAAAACCAGCCAAACATCCCATCATCTGCTTCACTTGCTCTTGCACAGCAGCAGCCTCCTCTTATTGATTCTCTGGTAAGGGTTGTGTAGCCACAGGGGTGGAGGGTATTCAATCTGAGGAGGAGGATGGCAGTGACGATGGTGGCTGCTATTTCTCGAATTTGTTAGGGGCGGTCGAAGGGCAGCAGCAGGAGGAGGAGGTTGAGCAATTGGGCTGGTGCCTGGTATATTAATTTGCAGCAGCAGTGAGGAGGAGGAGGAAGCACTGTGAAGAACAACTCAAACATTGATATCAATTGGAATCCCACATCGGAATCCCACAGAGGAAGCACCAGAAATGATGTCTATAAATAAATGGGCCAACAATGGCTAAGTATGCTTCCTGGGCCTGCCTTTTAGTGGGTTGGAAGTTGGTATATTTAATTAAAAGTAAATTTTTAAAAATATATAATTAAATAAAAAAATGAAAAATGCGTGCATTATTGAGTGTAGGCGTGAGTTTCAGTGGTCAATGTGGGTGTTGACCGCATTTGTTCACGCATAATGCCAATGCGAGGCGTTGAGGCCACGCTTCGCGCTTAGGCGCGCCTACGCGGCGCCTTTTCCCGCGTTTTAGAACACTGGTTGTGTCTATTCAGGAATAACTTTCAAAGAGTTGCAACTCTTGTCCTGCAGCTTTTGGAAATCTATAAGTAGGACCCCTAGTTTCCGAATTTTGTTCATTCAAAAATCATAATTCTCTTGTCTTGCATTCTGCATAACTAAAATATTTTTTCCGTTCATTGAGAGAGTACGAAACGTTTTCTGGTTCGCTGTTCATGCCGTTAGAGTGCTTCTACACCGCAAGTGAAAGATTGTTGTATATTGGGAGGCGATGGCGTCAACTGTAAGCACCGTAGCAGGCCAAAATCGTCTTAAGGAAATAGAGTCGAACTCTAGTCGCAATCTACTGTTTTCTACAATTTTGTTTAGCGTTTTTTCGGTTTGCCATTTCATTCTCTTCATTTTAATTTTGTTATATAAGTCGCATGCTATATAATATTTCTAACAAATTTATCCAAATAACAAAACTTACTGGATGTTCTACATATTGTTGAAGCCTAAAATACTCTGGTTGAAGCCTTGAGGTTTTGCTCCCTTTTGCTACAGAGAAGGGTTTGTTTTC